TAGGTTGCCTTTTTTTTTTCATTTTCCTACAGCAAACACTAGTAACATTGCCATTGTGTCTGGACTGTTAAGATGTATGCATTTGGTCCTTCCTGAATCAATTGATTATTTCAACCAACTAAGCATTAATTTGGAGTTATGAAAACATGGATATATTTTTCCCATAAATAAACAATTAAATTCTAATAATACATTTAAGTAACTGTAACTTAATCCAAGTGATTTGTAGACACCAACATCTGTTTGGGATCATAAACCTTAACAGTCCAGACACAATGGCAATGTTACTAGTGTTTGCTGTAGGAAAATGAAAAAAAAAAGGCAACCTATATTTTATTCATCCTAGATTCTATTCTACCAAGTTATATTTAGCTGAGGAAAAAATCTACTTGCATGTTGTTCAGAAAAAAAGTAAACCTTTAAATGTTACAAGTGAGCTAAAGCTTTAAAATCTATCTGCCCGTGCAGACCTCGCTCATTATTTAACAGTGAAGTGGCAGCACTTAGCAGACCTTGGATGATCTTGAAAAAGCTTGTTTAGTACTCAGATGGGAAAGCACCAGGAAATCCCAGGGTTTGTAAGTTAGCCTAGAAAGTCAAAAAGCATTTTAGAAGCCAACAGGGGCAAATGACTTCTATACCGTTACCAAGGAAACAATACGGACATGTTCTGTATCACCACCAGATGTTGACTTAAGGGAGACTTCATCTTCAAATTTCTAATTAGTGACTTCCTAAGCTAAGAAGCAATGTTAAATGTTAACACTGAATAACTAGTTAACCATATAACACACACACAATTTCTTGTCCTCAGTGTCACGCAACAATTTTATGTTGCTTTGAGACCAAGAAGATGGAGTTCCAGCAAACTTCTCCATCAGTTAAAAAAACAAAACATAAATAATCTCATGCATTTAGAAAAGTAGCAAGTCAGCAAGCATACCCTCTTCCAAATTAAAAATTACCACTGATTGTTCTTTGTAATACTTGGGGGCGGGAGGGGGACCTGTGTAGTTCTGAAACCACCTGAAACTTTCAATATCTTAAAAGTAGCCTTTCAAATGTACTGGATTATAGCTCCCCAAATGTCTACCAAAGTGTCTTGAGAATTCTGGTGAATTCTCTCATCACATCTGAAGGGCTATGGCTGGAAAAAGCTGACACAAAGCAATTTTAGGTTGCACATCTCATTTACTTCTCAAGTAAGACGAGAAAATTCAAAGAAGATAATCAAATTCTTAAGGGATGCAGTGGCTCAGTGGCTAAGGCGCTGAGTTTTTTCAATCAGAAAGGTTGTCGTCTGTTCGAATCCCTAGTTCCGCGTAATGGATTAAGCTCCTGTTACTTGTCTCAGCGTCTGCCAACCTAGCAGTTCAAAAGCATGTAAAAATGAAAGTAGAAAAATAGGAACCACCTTTGGTGGGAAGGTAACAGCGTTCCGTGCGCCTTAGTCATGCCGGCCACATGACCAGGGAGAAGTCTGGCTCTTCGGCTTTGAAATGGAGATGAGCACCGCTGCCTAGAGTTGGGAACGACTGGCACATATGTGCGAGGGGAACCTTTACCTTTTAATCAAATTCTTATATTTTCCATTTAAATCCAGAAAAGCAGACTATAATAAGTGAAACTTATTCTTTTTAGCTGGCTTTCTTTGCCATTGTTTGATATTAGCACTTTAGCATGGATAACTGCTTTCCTTTGTCAAAACTGAGCAAACTGTTCAGCTGGGACAAAGGCGCTTCAGTTTAGTCTAGTACTAAGATAATATAACAAGTCATTTTGAATTCTCCTTTTAAGTTACACCTCAGCAGTAGCTATATGAGACAGAGCACACCTTCAAAACTGTCTGAAAAATTGGAGACAAAGACATAGGGGTCAGATAATCAATCCACTGGTTTTTATTAGTCCCCCCCCCAATAGTCCCCCCCATTCTAATTAACAAGGAAGAATGCTGGTATGAGAGAAGAGATGATTTAGCTAGAGAAATATTGCAAGGAAGTCCCTAGCAAAGAGAACTTCTACATTTTACAAATAGGTATACAGTTAAAAAAAGGTAATGTGAGACGCATGAACCAAGAAATGAAGCACTGCAGATTTCAAGTTTTAGGACAGGAGAACTTGGATGAATAGTAATGGGCAACTTTAAACCAGATGTTTCTATGTAATTTTCACGATATGAAACCATGTCCTAGACAAGATTTACCACTGGATTTACAAAAGAGGGTTTCTAAAGCCTAGAAGAAATCTCTTAAGATGAGAGAAAGAAAGTTCGAAAGAAGATTCAATCCTATCCCAGTGACTTGAGTAATTAAAGATAACACTGTTAGAAGTAAAAGAAAGGAATATAAAGTTGCTTGTTTGATCAAGGTTAAAATATGAAATATTTCTATACGTTCTGTAAACCCTTGATGGAATTTAAACATATTTTTTTTCATTTCTGATTTCAATTTGTATTATCTTTTTACTATTATTAAACTCTTCAACAAAAAGTATTTTTTAAAAGGACATGCAATTCTATGAGAGTATAGAATGGCCTAATACTCAAGGAGGTATATGTGTTCCACTATAGCTAAATTAACAATAATCATATCTAACAATATTAGTGGATATCCCGTTAGTATCAATGTAATGTACAATGGTGCACTGAATATGAAATGGAGACAGGCATATAAGAATGTTTTGTCAAATTTTAAATTGTTTTTAAATGAAACATTTAACAAAAATGTAATAGCACCAGTCAGTAATTAGAAAACTAAAGCTGGAATTACTTAAAGACAGGATAAGGCCAATAATGTAGGATCGTGATGGGGAAACTATGGCACATGTGCCACAGGTGGCACATGGAACCATATCTGCGAGCACGCAAGCCATTGCCCTAGCTCGTTCCAGCAGGCATGCACGCGCTGGCCAGCTGAATTTTGACTGACTTGCCCACACTGCCCTTCCCTTTCCAGGAGTCTCCATGTGATGACAGGTAAGTACAGGGTTTGCGTGGAGGCTCTGGGAGGGAGCTTTTGGCCTCCAGAGGGCTTCCAGGAGGAAGCCATTTTCGCCCTCCTCAGGCTCCTAGAAGACCTCTGGAGCCTGGGGAGGGTGAAAAAAGGGCCTACTGGAAGTCAGAAAATGCAGCTCCGGACACTTCAGGGAGGCCTGCTAGGCCCAAAACGGAGGTCGGGGGATCGTGCACTCATGCGCAGGGGGTCGGGGGAGTCACATGTACATGCACAGGGGGCGGGGCACAGGAGGATTGAATTATGGGTGTGGGCTTTTGGCACCCAAATGAAAAAAAGGTTCATCATCACTGATGTAGGATATAGGTTAGTAATGTTTTAGGAAGAGAATTTTTTCATTATTGCAACATCTGCTGCAAGGAATATAAATACAAATATAAATATTGGACATCAATGGATAAGCTACATTGGAATTAAATTAACTATATAATAGGAAATAGAAAACAGAAAAAGTATAGTCCAGTAAGCCAGGCCAATTTCAGGTGCACATTGTGGAAGAGACTGTGAATCATTGTTATCATGTATTTAGGAAAGTAGGTTAAAGTAGCAAGATTCGCTCTGTAAAAGATTTGAGTCGGAAAGTGAAATCAATCCATGGAAAGGACTCAATGACCACAAAAAAGCAGCTGAGGAGCTAAAGAAAGGGATAAGAGACATTGTGAAAACCAAAATAGAAAAACTACTGTAAGCATTTCACAGAAAAACAATTTCAAGTAGCTTTCAGAACAAAAGTATTATGATTTTATTTCCCACTACAGTGGGAAATCATCATTCTGAATCTGGCCTACCAGCAACCCTTATTTGAAAGCAGTGGTTAAAGTAGGAGAGACTTATGTTGAAGTCCCTCACAGGCTGTTAATAGTGTGGGCCAGTGGATGACGGCAGCTTCCAGTAGCTAGTAGTGACATAAAGAGGACTAAGAAGTTTGCATACAACGATGGAAATCAGATCAGGGGAGGAAATGAACAATTTACTGTGGAGAAATATATAGAGAAACAACTGCAAAGTTGGAGAGAAGCGTAAAGGGTTTTGTAAATGATGGAAATGAGAGCAATGGAAGTCAGAGTGCAGAAATATATGCATGAAAATGAAAGAGCGTAAACTTGAAGGACCACAAAACAGAAGAAAGGGGAGATGTGGACAAAATAACCAATTGGAATGGCAGAAACAGATGTAAAGATGATGAATGAAAAAAGTATGTTGAGAGGATTTTGGATTAAGAGGCTGTGGGTCGAGCAAAACAAACTGAGAATGCAAGATGGAGCAGCTATGGGTACAAATATTATCTGGTTCTACGAATGCTTAATCTATTATTCTAAAGCTGGTGCATTTCCCAGGACACAGCTTTACCAGGAGTTTGGCAAAGTACAAACTAGACTAAGACATCTGGACAGGCATACATTTATGCCTGCTTTACACACCTGCTTAACTGCCATAACCAGTCTACTCTGACATTATTTGAAGAATGCACTGAGATGACCACTGGATTTTCCCAAAGGAAGACTTTTTTTAGTTAAAGATACAGATTTCCAAACCTCTGTTAAACAGCGCACTCTTGTGGTTAAGGCTTTATAAAAATTAGAAATAACTGTTATACTTTAGGTGAACAAAAATACTATTCACTGATTGCACTTATGTTCCATTCATCTACTGGGCCTGGTTTTCCTTTTCTTCTTTCACTTTCTCTTCATCTGTATAGCATGCTCATATATTCTAGGATATTATAAAAATGCCTTTTATTCAAGTTTCAAAGTGTTGTCTCAGTACACACATTCCCATTTACGCTGATAGACTTAGCTTTGATTTTTAATTGGAATTCACAACTGACAATTTATGCTTTACTAAGATATTACTAACGGCATTAATTCCCCCCCCCTCAAACTATGCTGGAATAAATTCAGCATGGATGGGATTTATATAGATGGATTTGACCTGGCAACCTCCTTTATAACTTCATTAAAATGCTTTATATAGAAAACAGGCAAGGTTATTAAGATAAAAACATTAGTTTTAAACATCCCATGTTCTCCCAGTAAGTAAAATTTGATTTTCTTAGGATCGGACATGTTTCTAATGATGCAATGGTTTTAACTGCTTGGGAAACCTTTTCCCAGTAATCTATTTAACTATATTTTTCATAAAGGGATGAGGAAGACAATTTGGAAAAGAGAAATTTTCAAATATTTTTTCATTATACACTTAAAACTATACTTTTTCACATTAAATAAAAATACAGAAACATCTGTTTGATTGGGAAAGTTGAATTCGAATTGCAATTTGATATTGCTTCAAAATACAATTTTTAACAACCAATGCAATTATCTAAACTTATGATTACTGACCTGTTTTGATCATATTAAGCTTTTTCAGCATTTAATATTAATATTTAAATTCCATCTACAAATTAAAGGTTAATATCTAAAGCCACTGCTTTAGAAGTTTGATAATAAATGCTAGTTTGAGTGAAGAAGGATTCTATGAATAATGAATTCCTCCGTAAGCACAGTTATCAGATGTCCACATATTTCCTTTGAGAGTATAAGAATATACAATATAATTTGGAAGTTTTCTTCAAGGATTCTAATAGGAGCAAAGTTTTAGCATGTTCCTCAATGTCTTATTACCATAAATGTAACAAATCCTTGAAACACAGGCTTACATCCCAAACTCATACAATATATTTCTTATGATCGACCCCCATGAGGGCGAACCTATTGCCCATATTTGCTGGCACGCTAGTCGTCAGCGCCGGAGTAGCAGCCAGTTGATTTTTGGCCTTCTGGAGAGCCAGTGAGTTCCCTCAGCTTTAGGAAAGCCTCTGGAGGCTGGGGAGGGTAAAAAATGGCCCCAAGGAGCCAACAGGAAGTTTGGGAAGTTCGTTTTCGCCCTTCCCAGGCTTCAGGAAAGCCTCTGGAGCCTGGGGGGGGGCATGCGTGTATGCGCATGGGTGGGTATGTCTGCACACACATGCGCAGGTGGGCGGGGAGGATTGAATTGGTGTGGGCACGTGTGCACATACGATAGCGCAAACACACAATTTTAGCACACCATAAGAAAAAGGTTCACCATCATTGATCTACCCTGTCTACGTGTCCGATATATTTTTTATCATCATCATCATCATCATCATCATCATCATCATCATCATCATCATCATCATCATCATCTTTTTAGCCATTGTCTATCTACTACAAGATGAAGGCCTGCTTGTTTCCAACCAATGTGGTCCTGAATTTTCACTTGCTGATGTCGTTGATCCATTATGCTCAGCATGAAATCTGAACATATAGAAGTAATTTTGTGGCCAAGGTTGATTTCAGAAGCATTATTTAAAATTGGATTAAGTCAACTCTCACAATTTAATTGGAAGGTATGATGGTGATTATTCTCATTAAACTATTCATACATTATTTTAAAATTATTCCCAGAGAGAAATAAAGAGCAAGCGGTTAATAACCAACCTTATCAGTTTCATCCACACTACTGGATTTCAGCATACAGATCTTAGGTTTGTCCTGGCTTTGAGCCAGATCCTGGGGCACACTTTGAGAAGCAGGCATGGGAGGTAAAGGTGCTCGGCGCTTTTTGGGCACTTCAGAGGGCAGAGTGTTTGAGTCGTACTGTTTTGAAATTGAACTGGATCTCACAGAAAAGGCCGGCCTTGGCTTGTTCATGAGTGGTGTTGCAGGAGCACTGGCCGTCTTATTGGGGTTGGGGTGGAGATAGGAAAAAAAAGATTAGATTTTCAACCATCCAACTTCTTTGAACCAAGAATTATTCACATTTATTACAAGGTCACATTCAAATGTAGCATAAACAAGGCCATGCACGGTCCTCCCAAGCTCCATTTTCACTGGCAGAGCGCTCGGGCCACCACAGGTGCCCCGACAAGAGTGATATTGAGCTGGATACATCTACCCTAGCCAACCCTCCCCAGGTTCCCTCCACCCCGAGGTCAAACACAACCCTGATACGGCACTCAATGAAATCGAGTTTGACACCCTGGTCTATGGGAAAACTAGCTACCTATTTACAAGACACAAATATAATGTGCATCTATTCATATTTATTTATAATTTTAATTTTCACCTATCAACAATTTCCACTGCTTCCATTTGTCAGCAATTCTGTTCTATTCTCATTCTGCAATGCTTTGCAAATATTCTCATTCCCAAGCTCAGAGAATCCATTACACTGAGGAGGAAGAATGAGACAGAACCACAGGCGGTCTTATTCCAGAGGCAAGGAGGAGATGTCACAATATTAATATTTGCACAATGGTTAAATCTAAGAAAACAGCTCAAAAATAGAGTCTTCGGAGCTTGGGTAGAATAGTTTCCTTTGGTTGCAATCTTTGGATAATAAGGAAGAGCTGGGACTGATATAGTGAGGATGTATGCACAGATGTTATGTGTATAAGAGAGTAATTCTTAGAAGCAAAGAAATGGGGATGCTCCATGACTTTTGGTCAGGAAATATGAGCCATTTCCTCTGTGAGAGAAACTGAAAGAAGTTATGGGGCTAAAAAATAACCACTCCAGTTAACTTTAGCAGGACAAACCATCCAGGCCAGCTCAAAATGACCTGCTCAAGCTTACATTCTCCCTTACCATAATTATGAACATTTATATGTTTGTTACCTGTTGCCGTTTCTTTTTGCTCCGTTGAAAAATGCCAAAGAATCCTTTAGTTTCTTTCTCCTTCAAATTCTCTGAATTTTGCGCGTTCTGAAAAGAGTCTTAAAAAAAAGTATCTTTGTGTCACAACTTCCAGCTTCTATTATTATTTTCTCCACTGTGTCTCTCTTTCTATTTTATAATAGATTGTTGAAAATCTGTACGATGTTCAGTACTATCAATGGGAAACTATTTTGTAATACAGATAATAAATCTTTAGTCTGACACATTTTCTGCCATTTTAGATTAAAACTATTTTATCTGTATCAAAGCAAGATGTAATCTGCATATCTTTTTCTGATTAATATATAAAATAAAAGCTGCTTAAAACTGAAATTTGATTCTTACTATGCATAATTCTCAAAGAATTCTCCTTAGCAAGATTTATTGCAAAGAAATGAATGGGGTTATATGAATCCAAACAACTGAATTAGTTTGCATTTAACATCAATGCATCAGAGCAGAGGCTTTTTTATTTTTCTTCTAATAGTCTTCCTGTGAACAGTGGTGGGCATTTTCACTGAAAAGCAGAAAAATGTGCAATTACCTGTTTACCTAACAGCCTCCTCAATTTCCAGTTGTCTAGGAAGTAACTATTATACCTATACTGTATCATAGTTCCTTCTACAGATTAACAGAGTTGGAAGGTACCTTGTAGGTCATCTAGTCCAACCCACCGCCCAAGTAGGAGACCCTACACCATTTCTGACAAATGGCAGCCCAGTCTCTTTTTGAAAGCTTCCAGTGATGAAGCTCCCACAACTTATGAAGGCAAACTGTTGCATTGATTGATTGCTCTCAATGTTAGAAAATGTCTCCTTATTTCTAGGTTGAATCTCTTCCTTGATCAGTTTCGATCCATTATTCCTTGTCTGGCCTTCTAAAACCTAATCAGCTTCTAAAGGCTGAATGCTGGATATTTTGTATATGTGTATGTGTATGTGTATGTATATGTGTATGTATATATATATATATGTGTGTGTGTGTGTGTGTGTGTGTGTGTGTGTGTGTGTGTGTGTGTGTGTGTGTG